GATCCTTATCCTCCCGGGATAGCCGAGCCCTACCCACCTGCATGGGCTCTGGATCTTGTGCTGAGCTGACCACATCACTAGAGAACGGAGCACAGAGATCCAAAGAAACCGGAGCTGCCCGCCTTAACACACGTTGCTCGCGCTGCTGTAAACGTGCATCCACACAAATGGCAAGAGCAATAAGATCATTCAGTTTAGTAGGTAGTTCCAGCATAAAGATCTCCCTCTGGATGCGATCAGCTAGCCTATGCAGGAACATATCCCACTGCGCCTCCTCGTTCCACTTGCACTCGGCCGCCAGGGTACGAAACTCGATGAAAGAACAGACATGAGACAACGATCTCACAAAGACAAGACCAAACGCTGAGACTAATGTAGGGCAGCTGACGAGCCACAGCTGAACCTAATAATCAATCAACAGTAGTACACCGAACGACCAGAAGGGGCCGATGCACCTATGAACCATGACAGATGCAGCCTTAACCACGTCTGAACAATGTTATCTAGTCCGAGAGGAGCTGGATGTGAGAGGGAGGACCAGAGTGGATAGTGTGAAGTCTCAAGACGCACACTGATCCACTGCTCCACCACATCAGGGTGGAGCCTCCATTCCCCGGGCCTCAGCCCCTGTGTCAACAGGATGTCTGCTCCCTGAATTAGGTGCCCAGGGATGTAAACTGCTCTGAGTGAGAGGAGTTTTCCCTGAGCCCACAGGAGGATCTGGTGTTCCAGATAGTGAACGCGAGTGCAAGCACATGATGGCCCCTCAGGTCTGGAAGGAACTGTTTCAGTGCACAAAACACAGCCAGCATCTCCAGGCAATTCATGTGCCATATGAGATGGTGGCCTTCCCACAGACCCCAGCCTATGAGGGAGACGTCCATTATTAGCGTTATGCGATGACAAGGAGCCCACAACACCGGGCCTTGTGATGGAACCAAGGCTTCTTCCAAATGTCTAAGGCACGTAAGCATCACCGAGTGACCTTGATCATATGAAGAGGGTTGCCCCTCAGGGAAAACCCCTTCGTCCTGAGCCACCACTGCAAAGGTCTTATGTACAGCAGGCCAAAAGATGAATCAAATAACACAAGCAGGAGAAAAATGTGCATCATTGTAGAAACGCATTCAACTCAAAGAAAAGTGGTTCTCTGTACTGAAGAAAGCACTCTCTTTCTTGGTGTTCAGCCTTAACCCCAGCTCTTTCATGTGAGCGAGAACATCATCTCGATGCTGAACCGCCATCTGCTCTGATTGAGCTAATGTCAACAAATCGTTGATGCAATTTAGCATGCTATCGTGCCCCGAGAGTGCTGTATTTTGAGGGTAAGGCAGGAGAAAAGGTGAGACCCGTCTCCAATCCCTCTGCTAAATTGATATAGACATCTAAACTTTTCAAAGCCAGATGACTATTTTCATTTAATTCCTCTGAATTAAATGCAGCCAAACAACCAGACAAGTGAAACACGGTCTGGACGTTAAGCGGAATATTATAATAATATATCCAATTTAAAAGAATCGTGAATAATACCTTGCAAACACATTAATACGTTTGCATGTGGTCGGAGGAAAGAGAGAGAAAGGGAACCTCCCGTCTGCTCACAGTTTCCCCCCGGCATTATTTTGTTGCAGACCTGTTAATGCACGCGTTGCCGAGATCTGAGCCACTTGATTCTATATTGCATAATACTTTCTTTCCTCAAGAATAAATACCAGTGGGAGCAGAGCTAAACATTCCAGATAGTGCACATTTGTACACGTTGGGACATTTTATGAATGAGCACAGTCAGCCCCCTCAAGAGCTGACAGTGTGTACTCCGCTCCCAAACAAACCACATGAATCGTGTGTATACCCAGCCATGATGTAGTGAGAGCAGGGAGAAACAATTGATCTATAATGCAGTCTGCTCATTTGCAAGTGATTGAGGTGTCAATCACCGCTGTGCCTCAGCAACAGTGAGACCGGATCCGCAAGGACCACAAACATGGACACACTCAAACTCAAAGTGTGCCCAGCGGGAGCGGAGCGTTCGCAGCGGGAGCACAATGCACACAGTCGGCCCCCTCGAGAGCTGACTGTGTGTGCTTCGCTCCCAAACAAACAACACAACAATCATATGTATTTGCAGCCGTATTATTTAGCATGGAAAGGGAAGAACACACAATCTAAAACGCTGCCTGTTTTTCTTACACACTATTGTTGTGACTGGACTATGCACTGGCACAAACAAACAACAGATATTTCAGACTGACACACACAGAGCGCTTGCTGAAGACACAGAAGCTAACGCTGTTTGTTTCGGATTTACTTTTAAGCTTCCTGGTCTCTACGTCACCCTGCCCATGACGTCTCGCCATTCCATTGGACTGATTTCACACATTTTTCAGGACACAGTCACCAGGGGCATAAATTTCCTCTAACAGTTGGGGGTGACAATAAACATAAAATATCTCAAGAGCAATTTTTGAAGGGGACACAAATAATACAGCTAAAATTGTACTTGTAAGGACAAGTATACACAGCCTTACTAGTGCAGCAGGGAGACCGTGCCAAATTAGACAACTTCAAGCTGTTGTGGTTGCGCCGCAACAGCGCTCGTGTCCGTTGTAGACATTACCATCTGTCAAGCAGGTAACATTATTGTCATCAATTTTGTCATCAAAAGCATCCACACACACATTCAGCTCTCTGCATTATGCCTATTAACCACCTGCACCGCTTGTGTGTGTGTGTAGATGAGAGAAGAGCAGCCAGCTGGTCAGATATCTACGGTAAGAGTCTAGAACCAATGATCAATCCAAACTCATCATTCAGCAACAAAGCCCAACTATCTCCCTCAATAACCCACACACAATCCACAAACTGCACGTCTCTCTCTTTTTCTATTAGACCAGCACACGTTGTTTCCCACCTCTGAGTCATTCTAATATTAAAGTACACAAATAAAAACCATCTGAAGACATCCTCTCCTGATGCTTGGATGTACAAATATACTCACTCAGCCCCTCACGTCCTCTATATTAGCTGTGTGCTCTCTCTAATCTCATTGTCTCATTGTGTACGGACATTATATCATTAGAAATGCTCTTTTTATTAAACCCACACATACAAATACATTCTCATATGTTAGAAACTAACACACACAGACAGCAAAGCATCCACACTAGTTAAATATCATTTTCTGAATTTGCAGCCCAGTTCCCACATGGATTTCAGAGTGGCTCTGATAAAGTTTAAGTTTTAGATTTTGTGTGTGAAGATAGACAGAATGAAAGAATGATAGATTGAACAACTGACTGGTAGACTGAGATATCGTTTGATAGATAGAACTTTATAATGATAAAGAACAATAGAATCAAAGATATTACAATCGATAGAATGATAGAAAGACAGACAGAATTTTGGTTAGAACAATAGCTCAACAGAACAATAGAATGATACATAGAAAGAAAGAAAGAATGATTGATTGATTGATAAATCAATAGACAGAATGACAGAACAATATAATTATATAACAATAGGACAGACAGACAGACAGACTGATTGACAGATAGACAGCATAACAGAACAATAGAATTTTAGCTAGATAAAATGGTAATAGCAACAATAGAACACTGTAAAAACAATTGTTTCAGTTTTAAAAAGGAAGTGTTCGTGCTGCCTTAAAATTTTAGGTCTAGTCAATTCAAATATCCAAGTTGTCACTTAGTACAACTTAATATTTAAAGTTGACTAAACTAAACAAAAATTTTTTAAGGCAGCACAAACATTTTAAGTTTAAACTTTTTTTACAGTGTTGATGCACTGTAAGCCCAGATTTTTTACTTAATTTTAAACTTAAATATTTACGTTTGACTGCATTACTTATGAAATATAAATAGATTCTACTAATTTGTAGACATATTTGAACCTGTGAATAAATATTACGTTTATCTCCTGACCACGCCTCCCCCACACATGGTGCTGCGAGTCAGGTAATGACGCCATTTTGTCATTGTTGTGATTGTGTGTGAATTCAAGGAGCTGTGGATGAAAAGGTGGAAAATTTGTTTTAGACAGTTCTATGGACGTTCTTTTCCGCCGTTTACCATTTATCGTGTCTTTCTTTCCGTTGAGAGACTCAGAGAGTTGAGAGATTTCTCATCCGTTATGCCAAGTTCACACAACAGGATTTTAAGCTCGATTTGCAAGTCAACGAGCTAGCTGTTATCAGGGGAAAATCAGCAGGTGATCAGCGCTCTGCAATCTTTATGTGTGAACTACTCAACGACACATCAAAGAGGCTCGCTGACGCCTTGTCGACACCAAACAAATATCTAAATTAGTGCTGGGAAACGATTAATCACAATTATATGTGTACTGTGTATATGTGTGTGTACTGTGTATATTTATTATGTACATATAAATACACACACATACAGTACATTTAGAAAATATTGTATTTACATGTATACATTTATATTCATATAATTTATATTATATATAAATATATTTAATATTTAAACATAATATATTTTTCTTAAATATACATGCATGTGTGTGTATTTATATATACATAATACATATACACAGTACACACACATATACTATGTAAACAAAAACTTTTAATTGGATGCGATTAATCGCGAATACACGTTGCCCAGCACTTATCTAAATATCTAGACCTGTCGGCCGACTCGACATCATGTGGTGTCAGGTGTCACGACGAGCTACAGCCAATGAGAGAGCAAGGCATGGGTTGAGGTCAGCGGAAGAAAAACAGCAGCAGCAACATGGCTTTAAGAAAAGTTTGGACACAAGAAATGGAGTGGAATTTTTCAGAACAGATCATCATGCAAACAGCTTGCAGCACTAATTTCTTCCTGAAGTCCATTTTCAAATAAACAGCTCCTGTTTCACTTGTTGTTTCGCGTCATTCCCGTTCAACTTCTCGCGTGCATTTTCATGAGACAACGTAGTTTGGGGACCAGATAGAGTCGTTGGGTGACAGAGTTGTTGTCAACTCGTGTAGTGTGTCACCTCCTGTTGCGAATCATTTACGTAGTGTGAACACTGCAGCGACTTCGAGACACGACTTTAAGTCATGTAGTCTAAATTCGCCTTTTCCTTTCTATTTCTTTTTCACTTGAGAAGCTGTTGTTTGTGAGGAGTGTAAATTTCTCCAGCAGAGGAGAGACGATGGTGGCGCTAATATGGTGAGTGCAATAATTTAACGACATTTAATTTTGACATGGCTATTGTTTGAAAGTGTAAGTTTAAGTTAATTAATGGTATAAATACAAAAACGAATGGATCCTTCTGTTCTATCTAGGTTCACAGCCCTCTTAATCTTGTTTTGGAAGGAAGAGGAAATGAGGTCCTCATAACTGATAAGAGAGAGCACAGCTGTTTAAACATTATCCCCCGGTTTCACAGACAAGGCTTAAGGCTAGTCCCAGACTAAAATGCATGTTCAAGCTGTCTTAACTGAAAATACCTTGTACTGACATATCTTAAAATATGTCAGTGCCATTGTCTTGTCTCAAGATACACACCAGTAAAGTTTTTAAGGCATTTTTATAAAAGCTAATTTAATATCTTAATTTAACTAAGGCCTAGTCCTGGCTCAAGCTAAGACCATAGAAGTTATACAAGAATAGAACAATTTCCTTGTTCACATAAGGCATGTACATACATTTTACAGTAAACCAGGTATGTATAGGTGCATTCATCCCATGTTGTAATTACCATAATTACAAGATTCCAACTCAGAAAAAGCATTCATGTCCTTGTAGAACTCATAATTACCATCTGTAATCTGGGAATTTTCTGAGAGCTCCTACTTGTACCACCTGACCACTATACCCGACTGCTGCAGATTAATTTATTGATAGTGTTGCCATAGAAACGCATAATTCCCGGTCCAAGGACATGAACAGCTCCAAGTATAATGTCACAATGTTGTTCTCTCAGAATTAAAGTAATTATGACATGGTGTGAACGCAGCATATGACCTTGAGTATTTGACAACAGCATTATCAAACTGACTTGATAATGTCTACAGCTAAACCCATCTAGAGTGGGAATCATCTTGTTTGGTAATGGATGAACTGACCAATCTCAGGCCGTCTATGTCCATTTTTTTTTTTCAGACTAATTTATGCCCTGTTTTTAAACCTGGAAAAGGTGAGCTGGCACCCAACAATTCAATTCTGCCAATATTGCGAACTCAGAGTGGAAACAAACCATATAGTTTTGATACTGTTTGTTGTTATTCTGAGATGAGACTGTTTATGTGCTTAATAAGTGAATTTGTTAAATTAGCTGTTTCATGTTTTATGGGGAAATGTTTTCAGGATATTAAAAATTCCTGTCCAGAAAATTGTATGAATGTTCTTTTATTTGTTTGCTTTTTTTCTAAATTTTCTTTAACAAATTGGAAAAATAAAACAACTGGCATAGATTTAACTTGGAAATTAGCACACTGAACTTAAATATATTAGGCGTAATAACTGCAAATTAATTGATATTACAAAACATTTTAAGTTAAAAAAAATGAAATTTTTAAGTTCACAATACTTAATATTTTAAAAAGTAAATTCAACTTATCCAGTGTAGACAGAATGATAGAACAACAGAATGATAGATACAATGATGGATAGAATGATAGTACCATAAATAGAATAAGAGAGACAGACAGAATGATATCTGCAATATCGATAGATCAACCAATGGATGGATGGACGGACAGACAGACAGACAGACAGGTGGATAGTCAGACAGTTCAGTAGGTTTTGGTGTTTCTGAGTGCTAAAGTGTGTGTGTAGTGTGATCTGCTCTCCTGCTGCTAGTGTCACATGTAGACTGACTCATAAATGTCTTTATACACTCATTAGAGAACAGCACTGATATAATTAGCCAAATAGGGACTAATACAGACCTCACACAAAACGCACTAGGGGACTGTTGCACTAAACTTTTTGAAGACAATATGACGCTGATTCGTTCAGCGTGGACCAATCAATGAGTCAAAACAGCAAAGACGTAAATTCACAGATCTCCACAGATCATATTTGTGTATACTTTGGACTTTGGGACATTAAGGGAAAGAATCATCACAACATCTAGAGTCTAAGAGAACCAAATCAGGTAATACAGAGAACAGAATGTTTGACTCAAGTAATGACAACCAGATATTTCAAGACCAAATGAAAGGCCATTTAAACTTACAAGCAACCAACTTAGTCTAACAGATCTTTTCCTCCTCTTCACTAAGGACTTGAATTAACATCCTAAAACCAAGAAAGACATCTACCATGGCTGATTGTTCAACCTCATCCACGTTGTACAGTATATATACTGTAAAAACACAGATAAACTTACATAAGCTTTATGTTTTTGAATTGTACCCCACGAAAAACTCAGAAACACAGGTTCTTTGTTTTCAGAAATAATGCATTGACGGGTAATTTAATATGCACTGATACATTTACCTTCAAAATATTATCGTCTATCACTTAGACCGCATGAAAGCGTTATACAAGTGTATCGAGACACACGCAAAAACACACAAAGGTTTTATTTAGAGCTCATAATGAGAAAATGATTCCCGCCCATGTAAGGACAAATATTCATAATTACACTTTCCAAGAGAGAAAATGAAACGGAGGAGGAGACACCCAGAGAAATGAGATTTGAGAAAAGAAAACAAGGATGAGGAAGAGAGGGAGAGGGCTTTCAGATATAGAGGAATAAAAACCGATTTCATATAATGGGAACACGGTGTGCGTGGCCAGTCAAATCTCCCATTATCGCTCGCAGCTTTTGGATGGTTGTCTCCGCGGGAGTCCCGAGCACAGGAGGGCAGGTGGGGGGATGCTACAGACCCCAGCACAGTTTTCATCTCACACACGGACTCATCTCAATTCAGCTGGAGCTCTCACACACACATCTTCACACTTACACACACGTCT